AAGAGAGGAGGGAATAGAAGTTAAAGAAGGGGAGGAGGGGGGGGGGGGGAGAGAGAGAGAGAGAGAGAGAGAGAGAGAGAGAGAGAGAGAGAGAGAGAGAGAGAGAGAGAGAGAATGAATGAGAGAGAGAGAATGAATGAGAGAGAGAGGTGTGAACACACCAATCGCTCGCGGAGTGTTTTCCCTCTTGTACTTGCGTCCGGCTGCAGAGACGAGACGATCGCAGGCTGAGGTAGAGGGGGGGGTAGGTGGGAAGCACGTGCCACCGTTTGTTTATTTTCCTCGTAAATCCCAATACCGCGGGGGCGTTTTCAAATGTTTCTGCATCAAAACACGGCACAGGTTCAAGGAGGTTTCACCTTTTTTCGAGTGCGTGTGGGCCACACAAAACTCACGAAGCAGTCCGCAATGTCGCCGTGTTACACTGCCCGCTCAAGAGGTGGAAGAAACTTGACGGGGGATGCCCCCCCCCTCCCCTCTCTGTGTGTGTCTTGTTTTCTTTCGGTATTTCCTCACCGTCAACACTGATAGTGATGACGCCCATAGATTGTTTTTGACAAGAATCTCGCCGTAGACATCCAAAGCTGATACGGCAGCGAATCATGAAATTGTTGAAAGCAAGCCGACGAGTATCGTCGGCGTTGCTAGTCCCAACGTGGCTTTTTTTTGCCATTGTTTCGGACTTGAGAACGGAAGCGGGGACGGACTACTCCTGTACGCATGACGTGAATACACGACAGGATACGGTACCTTCAGGCAGAGGAAATTCGATAATTGCGAAAAAAAAACACCAACATTACAGTACAATGTGCCGAGCTGAAAGATAGAACGAACGAAATAAAACCGCACCACACATTGCAAAACAGAAGCGAAGCGTAGGCGGCGGGTCCGGTAAGCACTTTGTCACGCACATGAAAAGGCTGTCTGTTTGAACCGAGTGGAAGGTTTGTTTGTTGAAAGAAAGACAAGACAAGAGCAACAATTGTTAGAGGCCCCCGTGCCTTCCCACGCTAGTAAGGTAATCTGGCGACCTATGCAGATGATGAATAGAACCTTGATTGTTACACACCAGTCAGTGCTCCTTCCAGCACAAACCATGCATAGAGTACGGTAAACACTCTCTCGAGGGTCTCCGCACGTGGACCCTCAACAGCATACCCCTCAAACACATATAATCTCCAGAACAGAATTATCCTCAGAAGAGTACCGAAAAGCGTAGGAACGGTGACCGACAAATCTGGAAGAAACAACTTCAAACGAGTTGACACAATATCCTCGAAAAAAACGAAGTTTCGACTTCTTGGCCAATCGAAACGGGAGCATTCGCAAAGTACGAAGACCCCAACAACTACTCGTAACAGCATGTCAAACCCTTCCTCCAATATGGTCGCGTCTAAGGACCAAATCCTAAACAGCGCGCACACGCCAATCCATCCTATACATAGTCATGTTTACAATTGCGTACGATACTACAAAAACCTCTTCCACTCTACCTATCAATTATCTAATGGCTATAGTACACCTATGTGAATGGCGCAGGGGGCCCGCGGGGGGAGCAACGCCACCCCGTGCATGCTAACACAAAACGGGGGGGGGGGGGGGGTTCAAGTAGTACGTCTAAGCTATAGTGCTGTAGCACGCGACGTGTCCCCGACATCCGGTTTGCCTGAAGCGGGCTCTCCAAACCACAAGAGAAAGCAAAAAGTCAAGAGAAATTTTCCCGGTGCTCCGAAGGGCGTGGTGTGCGGGAGGACTCCATTTTTTTTTGCAAGGCGCACTCTTCCCCAAACTCCCAAACCCAACAAGAGGAAAAACAAAATAATGACTAGTAGACGTCTCCGACGCCTCTCTCTAGCCCAAGGATGTGTCACCAAGATAAGATATAAAGGGGAGCTGTTCACGGTGCCGTGTGGTGGGCGGTGACACATCGATTTCACCTTTCAAAGACGGGAAAAAACGCCTGCTCACACAGTTACCGACCGCACCGCCACATTCCAGGACGAAATGTAGCAAATACAAACTATAGCCACACCGCGCTAAATTCACGCACTACGCACAGCAAAAGTGTCAACTATGGAGATCGACATGAACAAACCGCGCCGCACCGCACCGCACCGCACTGCTAAAAATCTTGAATGAACCAACCAATTCAATGCGCTCGAGGCCTGAACAACTTGAAGAAAAGCGTCGACAGCCAACCGTATGCCTCAACATGGCCGGCGAGGCGGCCGGCGGCAAAGGCCACCTCAAAGCAGGGGGTTCTGTAATACGCCGACCTCATCTCCCGGACGACTGCTTGGAGACAGTACGCATGGTGACCGTGGTTGTTCCACCAGGGGCAGCGCGCTAGTGCACGGACATGCGCAATCAAGTCTACTTTGCCGGAGTGGACCACTTGTTGGCAGACACAGGCGAAAGGAGCGCCCAGGTCCAGGAAGTAGTCTAGTTGATTCACCGTTGAGTCCCGTGACACCGCCGACGTTTCACACTCGCGTTCGCTCCAGGCCTGGAAGAACACCTTGGAGGTCAAGCCGAAGGGCAAAAAGTGCCGCCTCGAAGGTGGGCATCGACGGCCGTTGTCCACGCCGCCAACAAAATCGGCGACGGTCATCACGATGTAGAGGTTGTTGAAGGGGTTGCCGGCCATGGTGGTTGAATCTGCATCGGTCAATCATCCCGTAGACGAGCGGGCGTGTATCACATTAGTTCTACTGTAAACTCTTTTCGCATGGTACTTAAGAGAGAAAAATCCCCAAGGCCGAATCATACTGCTGTACGATACACTTGTACGATTATTGTTGTATGCAGATGCGTGTTTGCAAGCAAGTGCATGTCAAAACCCATTCAATTGAACCAAGCACGCGACGACAACATCACGTAAAGAATGTGGTTTTGTCAACGAGCCGTGTGTTCGCCCAGTCGTCAGCGCATCGCTGGCCGCCCCTTTCTCCAAGTGTCACCGTTCCCGTTTGAATATTTGTCAACAGGATGGGAAGGGAAATAGACTTTAAATGAGCTGCTGTTGTAGACTGCCTACATATATATTATAGCGATACTACACTTATATCCACCCCCCCCCTCCGAGCCCCCCCTTGGTGTTTGTCATCGGGGTTGGGTTTTCGTCCCTTGGCAACGACGTTGTAAAACAAGCCACCCTCCCGGTGTTTGTCGGGGTTGGGTTTTCGTCTTTCAGCAACGACCTTGAAAAACAAGCCCGTCACTTTGTGAGCTCGGCAACTAGGTTACCGCTTATTTTTTTGTGACTTTGTTTTTATGTTTGGCGGTAACCATAGTGGTGGTAGGGTAGATTGTGTTGTGCGGGGTCGAGAACGCTCACCCCGCAAAGGGGATGATCGCACCAACAACATGTGTTCAAGCACCGTCTACGCCGTTACACAGTGCTTTATAACTGGCTCTGGAAGTGAAGAACACCAGAAAAAAAATGTTAAGTCATGCGCAGCTGTCACCCGTACGCAAGGACGTAAGCACAAGATGCCGAACACCCTTAGCAGGATGCAGCTCACCCTTCATGCGACTCGCCGAATACCTCACGGCGCTCCGCGCTTGGTGATGTGAGAGCCTGGTCCGGTGAGAACCCGGCGTGCTCCGTCCCGGCTTTGTAGGGATGCGAGGTCAATGGTCTAACGACTACGGCACGCACGACTATTAGTCACTCCCCCCGCCCCCCCCTGGATACTTGGAAAGCGACGAGATAGGGCGACCAGGGAGGGAGAGAGAGAGAGAGGCGACGCTGGTCTCACGAGAGATGCACCCGCGCTTCCTTGTTCGTGAAGTCTGTCTACCTACCAGTCTATGCAGCATCAGTTACTAACTATTTCGAGCTGTACGTACTGACTTGCTTGGTGTTGATGGTATTGATTATACAACACACAAACGGCAACGAAGGTAACCACAGCAGTATACCTAGCAGACATCGAAATACTTCTTTCTGCAGGCCACAATATCTAGACTGATCTGTGTGATCTACTGACAATACATATACAGAGAGAGGCAAATGCAGCGGGAGCGGGCGTGTTGCTTTCCATGTCCCGCACAACACACGTAAGTAGGTGCTCCCTCAAAAATATAGCTATGTAACGAACGTCGTTCCGTTGCGGGATGTTTCTTTGTGCGTGAGACTGCGGTGCCCCCAATTTCAAAAAATGATGTGGATGTTCGATGGGTGTATTTGTCGCGGGTGTCTGCCGTTGGATCCGCCGGGAAATTATAGCACCATCACCTCTCCCGCACGGAGTACAAGAAGCAAAAGGAAGGAAAGGCCAGACCATCACCAATAACTACTGCTGTTGTGTGCGATACGTGGTGTCAGTTGTAGTATGTATGTATGTCTGCGGAGCCCCCTGCTGCGCGGAGGGCGCAGCAAAGTAGGATACAAGTGAGAGTATACTGGGAAGCTGATGTACAGAGAGAGCAAGAACGAGAGAGAGACAGACAGACAGACAGAGACAGAGAGGGATCCTACGTACGTGTTGTTGTCGGGTTGTGTAGTGATACGGGTGATGGTGTCTGCTACTTGTATCTGTGTCTCACGTACAGCAGTAAGTAAGTGTGGTGCGCGGTGCGCGCGGGAAAACATCCATCAATTTTTGTATAGCACACGACACACAACACGACTCGTACCTGATGTGCACACACACGCAAAGCTAATGAATGTGTGCTCTGCTTCTTCTTGATGTCGAACAGGTCAGTCAGGTCAGCTCTGTAGGGTGTGGATGGAAGTTGTGCAAACGACTCAGGGTGAGGCGCGCAGCAGAGAGAGCGGCCTAACAACAAAAAACCCGTTAACGGTATACAAATAATCTACACCACCAATCAATGATCTCCTCTTTCCCGTACACACAAGGAGATTGTCAAGGTCGCGTGTTATATCCGGCATATGACCTTTGGATTTTTTTCCCCTTGGCGAGATGACTCCCAAGGTTGCCGCACCGCCGAGATTGCCAAGGTTGCGTGTTGCCGGTATTGCGATGACCTTTGGATTTTTTCGGATTTTTTTCCCCTTGGCGAGATGACTCCCAAGGTTGCCGCACCGCCGAGATTGCCAAGGTATCGTGCTGCCGGCATTGCAATGACCTTCGTATTTTTTACCCCTTGGCGATGTTACTCCCAAGGATGCCGCACCGCCGAGATTGCCAAGGTTGCGTGTTGCCGGCATTGTGATGACCTTTGGATGTTTTACCCCTTGGCGTGGTGACTCCCAAGGTTGCCGCACGGCCGAGATTGCCAAGGTAGCGTGTTGCCGGCATTGTGATAACCTTTGGATGTTTGACCCCTTGGCGTGGTGACTCCCAAGGTTGCCGCACGGCCGAGATTGTCAAGGTACAAAATTCAGGAAAATGAGGCACATCCACCTTGGCAAGGTGGGGGGGGGGAGGGGTATTTTCTCCACAAGGGGGTTCGACCTCCACCTGTGTAGCATTTTGTGTTTTTCAACACATATATGCTGGGGGGGTGTCACGGTAGCATGAACGGGCGCTAAATACTGAGAACCATTCCATTTCACGATGGTTTGAGGAGGGCTAGGGTACACCCCAGGGTATACCTGAATCATTGGCGGAGCCCCTCCAGAGCTCCGCCTCAACACGTGTTTTGGGGTGATCGCTCACTGTTAACACGGCCAATCTCGGAAGAGGAACTTTGACCCACCCGCCGAGAAGCAACCAGTCTGTGAGTCAAAGGATGAGAGGTAGATCTGGATAGATCTTGCCTAGACCCCCCTTGCTAATCCCACTTGATTAGACCCACAGGGCTAGACCCACCGGGATTGTATCCCTTTTGCTAGCCCCCAACTTGAATCCAACGGTAAGATACCATGAAACTGACCATGAAATGGATGAAACTAATTGAACCCTAGCCAGTGCTTGTGACGCTAACACATGAGGGAGCTACCCTAAGCGATAGCGTTATAACCTCTTTGACACGATTGCTTGGGTTGGTATTCCGTTGTCTGGCCCGGGAGGCTTAAAGGCTTACTCAGTAATCTTATTTCCTACGTGCTTACGGATACGGCACGTCTGCCTCGAATCGTCGTTTACAGGACTACGCTGCCTGGCCCCTCAAAGACTCCGGATACCAGGAATTGGAGAAGTATGCGCTTTTCCAGGCGGAAAAGAAGGTCGGGGCTTCCTTCCATGTGAGACGGTTTGGGGGTTAGGGGGG